CCTTTATGATTATTATTATAACCAAACAAGAAATTCAAATGTAATGGTCATACAGAACTAATAAATTAACAACAAACACAAATCATACATTCAACTCCACAAACAGACAGACACCATTACATTTATACATACAAGCACATAACTGCAGATACAACACTAACCGTTAATAACAGCGAACGTCCTTCAACGTCCATTTGATAGGAGCAAAGGTCAAGAGTCACGAGGGATCCTTGTGACAGTCTCTCGCCCGAGACTTTGTACAATGCAGAGAAAAATCATCTCAAAAATTAATCTCAAAATTCCTCAAGATTAATTTCGAACGACATATTACATAAATTCTAACATCTAAAATAAATAATGATCAAACAACCTACCTAGACAAATAATATCAAGAAAATGAACAAGCAAATGTAACTTTGGAATACCAGTGTGCATGTCACAGTTTTTAGTATTTCGTTATAATTATTTCTTTTTAAAGGGGGCGGGGCTAGATTTGGCATTTGCAATAAATAAATACTGGCAAATATCAGGGACATAATCGTGAAAGCGAAATATCTTGCTCCATTTTCTTTTTCTTATAAGAAAAGAAACTAACGACCCTTCCGATTTAAGTTAAAATATCCGAAAGCTGGAAAATCTTCGAAGTAATGATCTATATTATAACCGTATTTGGGGAACTTGATGGAAGAGTCGATCTGAGTCTCCATATCTGGCCGTCTCTTCTCGCGGACCTTCTCCTTGAGGACTGGAGCATTCTGGTCTTGTTCTCGAAGGATGGAGGACGGTATTCGAGCATGGCCTCTGGAGTGCGGAGCTTTGTCTCGGGAGGTGAAGGAGGACGGGGGCTTCGGGTGGTCCTCGACTGGAGTTTGATGGCCTGTAGGATCGTGGGACTGAGGAAACCTGATTGCACGGGGTTTGGAGGTTGAGGAAAGTCGCGGGTAAGGATTGGGTGAGGGTATCGGATAGGGTCTGGGAGTGGCAGCGGCTTTAGGTCTGGGCTTTGAAGTCACTATGATTTTAGGTCTGGAACTGAGGATCACTTTAGGCTTGGAGGTGACAGTGATTTTGGGTTTGGATGTAAGGACCACTTTGGGACTGGGAGAGAGGTATTTTGTCGGAGGAAGCCAAGATTTCGGTGTCGCTGAGACATACGTTCTGAGTGTCGGAGGAATGTGAGATTTTGGGACAGGAGGAACATAGGGGTCATCGATGGGCTGAACTTTAGGCCTGGATGTCAGAGGATAATAAGGTCTAGGAGTAGACAGTACATACGGATTGGAAGTAGGATGGTAGTACGGCTTAGGAGTGACGTCTCTGTACACACTTGAATGGTGTGGATGATAATACTTAGGGGAATCGCTGTAAGTAGAGGGCTTCTGGTAGCGGTAAGGAGAGTCCTTTCTGACGGATGGCTCGAGCTGACTGCTAGAGTCATACCTCTCCCGTGGCAATGACAAAGGTTTTAGATTTTTGTTATACTTTGGAATTTCGTATGGCTTAAAGGTGGTTACCGGAGGAATGTAAATCCCTTGACCAGGATATGGTGGTGTTTCTGAAAATGGAGTTGGTTTGTAAGCCGCCTTTGGTACAAGAATATTAAAATGCTCTTTAACCTCACGGATTTCTTCCAGCTCTAGAGACTTTGCTCTTACTGGAAGGTATAGATTGTCGTATTCGTCCTCCTCATCGTCGTATTTCTCCTTATGAATGATTGGCCCTGCCCCAGTCTCGGGCGAGGGTGAGTGGGGGAGGTTGCTGTAGAGCGGGTGAGTGCCGAAACTCCTCTTTATCTTGCCGATGTCAGGAACTGGGGTAATGGTGGTGGTTGTGGTGGACCGTTGGAAAAGCTTTACAGACTTTCCATCTCTGGTCCTTACGTCTTTGATAGCGTCACTCAACAGCTCTGACCTCTCAATTTCCCTCTGAAGGCCGGTGTAGTACCTGACAGCAGCGACATCCTTCTTGGCTCCAGCCGGTAGTTTTAGTGGGGCTCTCGTTGTTGTTGTTACAGCTTGATTACTAGGAGTATGTTCTTGCTTCGCTTTGTAAACATTCTGCCGGCGTGGAGCCCTTCGAGAATTTTTGTCACTAGAAACATAGCTGTTTGGCACATAGGATGACTGACGACGTGAAGATGTTGGAGACTGAACTTCCTCACTAATGTCAAGTTTGTCCTTGATGGCAGCAATGTGATCTTCCCGGAACGATTCGTTCTGAGCAGACGACTCTCCACTGACTGGCCTTTCAATAGAATCTTCGTAGGATATGTCATCCCCTGTGAGTCCTGAAATGTAACTTCTCGATGACACGTCTTCGTCTGGGTAGTAGTAGCCAGACCCAATAGCCACTGGGTAGCCTGCTGGGCCATACTGGTTGATGTAGCCCGCCCTCGGGATACTGTACGAAGGATAGCTCCCTGTTGGATAATAGCCTGTAGGGTATAATTCGAGTGGATAGGAAGGTGCTGCATATCCATTTGAATAGGATGCTGCTGGAT